ATGTACGTTCCAAGTTTGGGAACTGTTATTTCCTTTACTCTTGAGGTTGTAACCTATTTTATTTGAAATAAGTGAATGAGTCCTGGCGAGAGTTGGGCAGGCGGTCCGCTAAATCTTAGGGTACACCCTAAGGGGAGGTGGGGTCGTCACATTTGAAGTAGAAACACATTTCTTGGGTCTAAAAGAAACTTTTACTTATTTTTTAAATTGACAAGCATCACAAATTTTGTCCTTTTCAAACTTAATTTTTGGCAACAAATTCCTTTTTAAAAATTTCTTTTAACAAATCCATATTGAAATGACAAATCCTTCTATGCCACAACCAAGGGTTTTTATTTGCAACTTTAAGACATTTAAAACTAGAAGAATCAACATTTTCAAGAATAACCATATAGATGTCATTCATTCTTTTTTCTTTGAAAATTATACTAAACTTTGAGTCAAGAACAAGACATTCATGCTTTTTGAATAACACAAACAGATTTCTATCATATAATTGACTAACACTTAACAAGTTATAACTCAAATTATCAACAAGGAGAACATTGTGAACAAAAGTTTGACCATTCTTTGTTTGACCATTCAAAAAGGTTTACCAACATCTCCTACTCCAATTATTTTGGCTTTGTTATCATCTCCAAATGTCACTTTTTCACTTGATTTAGGCTTGAGTTTGATGAACTGTGATGGATCATTGGTTATGTGCCTTGAACATCCACTATCTATGACCATTTTGATTCTTTAATGATATTCACCAAGTTCACCTATACAAAAGTTCACAAGATAATATTTGGTACCCTTTACTTTTTGGATCCTTGAGAATTAGCATTATATCTAACTATCCACATGCATTTCATGCAATTTCTCATTTTTTCCCTTACATAGCAATTACTCTTCATGTGATCAATTTGACAACAAAAACTACATACAGTCAGCGAAATACTTGCATGGACAGGTTTAACAAATCTAACTTGCCTTTTCGTATAAATGGTAAATTCGTTTGTATTAGAATTCAACCTATTCTCATGAATGTCGAAATGAGGTTTTGATTCATTTCTTTGAAAACAGTTTTGTTTCTTGTGTTGAAGCAATTCATTTAGACCATCAATTCTTCTTTTCAAGTTACCTTGATCCTTTTTTAACAGATCACAAAGCTTTATTTTTCTATCAAGTTCAAAAAATAAAACAGTCCCATTCTTTTTGAAGTAGTCATTTTCAGCTTTCAACTTTTTGTTTTGTTAAAAAAGATTTGCATTATCTTGAAGTAAAAAACTAATTTTCTGTTTTAGTTCCTTGTTTCTAGCATAAGATTCTTTCAAGTTATCATACAATCTCTCAATGAAAGATTCAATATCATCATCAGATTCATCATCACAACAAGATGAGAGTTGCAAGTAGTTACTTTATCATCACCAATGGCCATGAAAGCCATTTGAGCAGATTCTTCTTCCTCTTCAACATCACCATCCGAGTTGCAATCATTCTATGTGATTTGAAAGTTGTTGAACTTTGGTTTTCGTTCAACTTTTCCTTCTTTCTTCTTCTTCATTGGGCACTCACTCATGTAATGCCCAAGCTGGCCGCATTCAAAGCATTTGTCAGCTTGTTTTTTTATTGGTCTCTTGCTTTCCTTTGTTTCTTGCATTGTTAAACTAATTTGGAAAATAGTCGCTAGGTCCAAGCCATTTGAGCAGATTCTTCTTCCTCTTCAATATCACCATCCGAGTTGCAATCATTCTATGTGATTTGAAAGTTGTTGAACTTTGGTTTTCGTTCAACTTTTCCTTCTTTCTTCTTCTTCATTGGGCACTCGCTCATGTAGAGCCCAAGTTGGCCGCATTCAAAGCATTTGTCAGTTTATTTTTTTATTGGTCTCTTGCTTTCCTTTGTTTCTTGCATTGTTAAACTGATTTGGAAAATAGTCGTTAGGTTCTCCTTTTCTAAATCTCCTTTTGTTGAGGATTCTTTTGAAACTTCTTGTGATGAGAACAAGATCATTGTCATCAACTTCCATATCTTTACCATCCAAGGAAGCTGAATCATCTTCATTTTGAGATGCTTTTGGACCAATGCCCCTTCTCACTTTTGCATTCTTTTCTTCTTGCACCTTAATCTTAAATTTCAGCTCATAAGAGATTAGAGAATTAACAAGAGATTCAATAGGCATAGAATTCAAATCTTTAGCCTCTTCAATGGCGGTCACCTTACTTTCCCAATCCTTGGACAGGGCATTTAAGATTTTTCTATTTTTCTCACCTAGGAAGTATTCCTTTTCCAACAACTCTAAGTCTTTAATGAGGTCATTAAATTTACAATACATCTTGTCAATATTTTCATCAGGTTCCATCTTAAATGATTCATACTTGGTAACTAGGATAGATTTCTTTTATTCTCTCACATTTTCACTTCCTTCATGGATTTCTCTCAGCTTGTCCCAAATCTCTTTAGCAGACCTACAACCTTTGACCCTAATGGATTCATTTGAATCTAAAACACTATACAACATATTCATAGCCTTGGCATTCAAGGTGAGGTGGGTTCTATCTTCACCAGTCAATTCATTTCTGATTTTTGGTTTTGGTCTATGAGTAACTTCATCTATTATAAAGGTATCATATGGACCTTCATTAACAACAAACCACAGTTCAATATCAATAGATTGCAAGAAGATAATCATTCCTTCCTTTCAACTCACATAATTAGATCCATTAAACATTGGGGGTCGAGTGACAGATTGTCCTTTAAAAAATATGGTATTGTTGGTTGTCATATTTACTCCTAAGCCGATTGAACTTAATCTCAAGGAGACCAAACTCTGATACCAATTGTTAGGAGCGAAGACAACTTAAGGGGGGTGAATTAGGTTATTTAAAAACTAATCAAATTATGAAACACTTTTTGGCTCAATATGAAATTTACCCTCTTTTCTAGATGATCACTTAATGGTACAATTAATAAGAAAGCAAGATTGCTTATGAGTAGAAGAGATGAGCAGTTTATATTTGCAAGATAGTAAGTAGTAGGGAAAGAATAGCGAATCAAATTTCAAACTCCTCTTGAGTTTGAATATTACTTTATAGAGCAAGCTTCTTCAAGTTGATCGAATACAACCAATCTTTGTGTACAAAAGAAGGATCACTTCCTCCTTGCCCCAAGCCACACTTGGTCAAGTTAGGAAGTTTTACTATCACTCGGATAACCCTAACAAAACTACACTATTGAAGTATTTTTCGCACATAAGAAAAGTTTATTCGAAATTTACACAACTAAGAGTACAAATCTTCTTTGAAGAGTATTTTCACACTAAAACTACTCTTGATCTTTCGTATTGTCAATGTGCAAAAGTTCTCTGAAAGTAGTTGACCATGCACTATTTATATAAGACCAAAAAGTGTCTCATTAATATTTCCAACGGATAAAAGGTAGCTAAAAAGTCTACTAGCCTTTGGGAGTATCGGATGTTCGGTCCATCCAAAATTCGCATCCGACAATAGGCAGTGAGTTGAGGAAATTTCTTTAATTCTATCGGATGTCCGGTGTCCCTGATACTTGTGTTCGAAAGCAGATGATCATTTTGAGAAGTCTTCTTCAGTGTTTTCGGACGTCCAGCACCTACACCGCTTTGCGTCCGAAGATCCACATACTGTATCGGACGGTCGGTGCTCTGATGTTTAGCGTCCGAACGAGGTCAGTGAGCTAAAGAAAATTTCTTGATTCCTTCGGACGTCCAATAGTGGAGTTCTTCATGTGTCCAAAGTTGCACAATGATTATCGAACGTCCGGTCCAATTTCACAAGCGTCCGACAGCTTTCAGCAACCTTTATCTCTTTCAATTTTCACTTGATCTTTGAATCTGATTTGTTTCATGGCTGAAAGAATTTCTTGAGGAGATATTAGTATCATCCATTTATTTTGTAAACATCAAAAGTTAGGGACTAAGATTCACAATTCTACCTCTTCTTCACCTACTTGAAACTTAAGTTTGCCATTTTTAACATCAATAATAGTACCTAGTGTTGTTAGAAATGGTCTATCATGTATGATTGGCATAGGCATGTTTTCTTCCATATCTAACACCATAAAATCCACGGGAATAATAAATTTTTACACTTTGATCAATACATTTTCCAAAACTCCCATTGGATATCTAATAGACTTATCGGCTAATTGCAAGGTAATATTGGTACGTTTAAGCTCATGTCATCCTAGTTGTCTAGCCACGGTCAAAGGAATTAATGACACACTTGCAGCAAGATCACATAATGCTTCCAAAAATTCAATGTTACCGATAGTGCAAGGTATAAAAAATCTCCCCGGATCTTTCAATTTTGGTAACAGCTTGTTTTATATGATAGCACTGCACTCTTTAGTTAATGCTATCATTTCACGATCCTCTAATTCCCTTTTTCGTGTCATGATCTCCTTGAGGAACTTGGCATATGAAGGAATCTGTAAAATAGCATCAACAAAAGGAATATTACTATGCAATTGTTTGAAAATTTTGACAAACTTTTCAAAATTGGTCGGCCCTCTAGCCGACGTTTCTATACATTCCGGTCAATTGGTCCAACTGCCCCTCTAGCCGCTCGAATCTCTCCGACGTACCTTTTGCCAATTTTTCCACAGCAATCTCCCAATCCAGTTTGGTATTCATCTGTTATTGCCTTGGTTGGAATCCCGGTGGATTGGTCGGCCTTTGTACATTGCCTTTATCTTTTCACCCAAAATTGGGATGATTTCTTCACCCCGGATTGTAGGTATTGGAGTATGAGTTGTTTTGAATATTCCTATTATAATTATTGACAAACTGAGCCTGCTTGTCGTCTTGGATTATTTCTTTCATTAGCCCATTGATAATTGTTTGCCGTCATTTCTTCTATCAAATTTTGAGATTTTTGAGGTGATTTTGCCATCAATGCTCCACCTATGGCTGCATCGATAGTAGTTTTGATAGAAAAGGATAAACCATTATAGAAGACTTGTACAATTAGCCAATCGAGAAGTCCATGATGTGGACATTTCTGAAACAAATCTCAAAACCTTTCCCATGCTTCATATAATGGCTCACCATCAAATTGACTGAAACTAGTAATATCCATTCTAAATTTAGCCGTTTTACCAGGTGGGAAGTATTTATTCAAAAACGCCCTAGACAAATCATCCCAAGTAGTGAAAGTTTTAGGGGCATGAGAATGTAGCCAAATTTTAGCCTTATCCCTCAATGAAAATGGGAACAACTTTAGCCTTATAGCATCTTCCCTGACTCCATTCATTTTGATTGTATCACATATCTCCAAAAATGTGGTTAAGTGTGCATTGGGATCCTTTACGGCATTACCTCCAAATTGAAATTGTTGTACCATTTGGATTAATGATGGTTTAATTTCAAAATTATTAGCATTTACCGTCGACTGTGCTATACTTGTTAGAGATATTTGGGTTCCCGGTAGAGCAAAATCCCTAAGAGCTCGCCTATTTGCTTTATTTTCTGTCATTTCTTCTTCAAAAGGTAGCTCTATCTCAACTCCCTCTATTTGTTGTTGAACATCCTCTTCTTGTCGTTCTTGTGTATGCCTTCTTTGTTTTCGTAGTGTCATTCCAATTTTCGGATCAAAAGGTGCTGCTACCCGTAAAACCCAGTGCATACACTAGAATAAAAAATAAAGAGATTATATAGAATCATTTCACAAAACTACTAGAAATGGTAATTTAACTAGAAACAAAGTTTAACTAACTAATATAAAAAATGTCTAAATTAATAAAGCTTGTTAGGCCCTAATATTGCCACTCCCTGGCAATGCTGCCAAAAAATTGACGGGTTTTGAATATGAGTACAAGTTTAATTCCAAAATATACCCATCTTGACTGCAAGTATATAGGTCATATTAGTAGTTTAGGGCAAATATTAGGTCGATCCCACAGAGAGCAACTTTACAAGCATTAGGTCCCTACTTACTCTATTATTTAGACTAATAACCGATTTAAGCAAGAGAATTATAATTACTACTATCTTACTAGTCTTAACTAGATATTTGCAAGGAAACAATAGAGAAAATTCACTAAATTCTTGAGTCTAGGGATATAGATTCCATTTATGGCATAAAAAGATAGAAATAAATAGATTTACCTCTTGTTACAACTCTTGTTTAACTATGGATTCATTTTCAATATTACCAAATCTCATTCTCATAATGAAATGGTGTAAACTAGACTAGTTTTCCCTATTCTCATGGTAAATAACTAGATCTACTTTTGTTTCTTTCATGAAATGCAAGTTTAATCCACTTAAGTGCACCTCTATTCTCATGAGTCTACTACTCAAGCTCTATTTATGTTGTTCCATCATTATTACCAACTTTCATTGAATAATAACAACTAAAATCTTGTTATTGGTGATCAAGCAACAACAAGTGATAAGCATGCATAAATAGACAATTTAATATAAGATGTAACTAGTGTAGATCATATTCACTTCATATCAAGCAGCTATAAGCTTCATCTACTCCCTAGATCTAAAAATTTAGCTACTCATATAATATGTAACAAGAAAGAGCATAGTTTCATTGCATGAACACATATTGAATCACAAATGAAAGATAGATAAAGAAAGCTTAACCAAGATTAATGAAGAAGCTCCCAATGATCTTCTATTTCTTCAACAAAATGAGTTGTACGATGAAATCTCCAATTGTTTTCACAAAAGTTCTACATATAGAAAATAAAACAAGACTAACTACTAAGCTCTCATCCTCAAATCTGATGAGAACTATCTCTAATATGTCCTCTTCTCCCTCTCTAATGATTCTAACAACTCTAGTGTTTAGAGAGTCAAAAAGTGGTGTTTTGACAAGACATCAATCTCATTTTTTTCTTCCAAAAGGTTCCTTGAATACGTGTAGCCGAAATTCTTGTCTGGAGTTAAACTAGAAAGTAGTGTGAAAGCAGAGCAAGTGGTTGAGTAAATTGCAGAAATCAAGCTACAATACGTGACTATGGAATACGCGACTTCAACCCACGTATTGACAAGTCGCGTATTATTCTCTGTGAATCTGGCATCATTTCAACTACAATTTTCTCAATGATGAAGGCTGCACTAGATCTTGTACAAAACATAAAGGTTGTAGCCCTTTGAGCTAGCTTTCCAATGCTTCATGAATCATCCAATTTGGAGCTCTGTGGACCGAGATATAACCAAAATAACATCAACTGGTCAGAGCTCTATTTCAGCACTCGACCATGCACATGCACTTCTGTATTTTGACTTTTTGACAAGGAAGACAACTGAACTGGATTTCAATGGCTTCATATCAAATGTATATCTATCTCTTACCTTCAAAATAATATAATAATCACCTAAATCCGATGCTTGTAGCTCATGATATTGCCGAAATACCACCATGTATCAAAACTGTCTACACTTGCATTTCTTCATTTGAGTGTTTTGCACTTCATGTCTTCTTAAAACCACTTCAAATCATCGATAATTATCCAATTCTCTTCTCAATTCATCCTATTTGATGATTGAATCATTAAACCTACAAAACATGAAGTTTTCACCATTAAAATCCATAAAAATGCAATCTTTACCACTTAAACTACAAAATGCATTTTTTTCACTAAAACCCTAGTTATCTAGCTATGAAACTAAATAAAACACACCAAAACTAACTAATAAAACTCACTAAAAATACGTAAAATATACTCTTATCATCATATAAGCTCCAACTCTCTATCTTGCTCCTTAATTGTTCATCCAAATCTAACTACAAGTACAAAATGGATAAACTACACTAACTATACTATACTAATGAACTAAACTAATGAACTAAGAAAAACTAATGAAGACTACATTTTGGTACTGTTTCTAGCTTTCCCAAGTTATAAAAAACGTTCTCCAAGGCCCCTATTTATAGAGGAATTCAAATTACAAATGAGTGTTAAAGTTGATGTGAAATGCATCTTGAGATTTCCAAAATATTCTTCTATAAGTTTCCATACTTTTCTTTATAGTTACGGCCAAAATTCTGAGCTAGAAAAGCTGTGTGAATGCAGAACAAGTTAAGATGCAACTTGCAGCTTTGTTTGAAGAATACACAGGCATGAGGACGTGTATTGACCAGCACTTTGCCTTATTGTTGGTTTCCTCATTTCTGATTAGTCTTCAACTTTACTCTATTTTTGTACCAAATTTCACGGCTATTTTCTCGATGATGGAGGCTGAACTAGCTGTTTTGCAAAACATGAAAGTATGAGTTAGCTTTTCAATGCTTCAAGAATCATCCAATTTTGAGCTCTGTATATTGCTAAATGATCAAAACATCCTTGACTAGTCAAAACTCTATTTCAACTTTCGACAACAAAAATGGCCGACTATATTTCGACCTTTTGAATAGGAAAATGCATGAACTGTATTTCGATATCTCCATAAGAAATGTAGAGCTATATGTCAGATTCAAAATGTTTTAAGAATCACCTCATCCCAATACTTGTAGCTAAAGATATAGCTGAAATACCAACAGGTATCAAGCTGTCAAACTCCCTTTCTTTTATACTTGATTGCATTTCATCTTTTGAACATTTAGCACTTCTTATTCTCTTTAAATCACTTCAAATTATCAACAATCATCCAAATATCTTCTCAATTCATTTCATTTGATGATTGAATTGTTGAAACATACAAAAGATAAAGTTTTCACCACTTTAATCCATAGAAACGCAATTTTTCACACGTAGGCTGCAAAATGTCAACTTCACTTGAATCTTAGTTAATTAGTTATAAAAATGATTAAAACATACCAAATTAAATAATAAAACACACTTAAATCACTCAAAATACACACTTATCAAAGAAAGACCAAGGACAATCTGGGGCCATTTACAAAAAGTCATCGCCGGATTAGATGAGAGTATCGGGGGCCAAATAATGAATTTCGAATCAAATACCAAACCGGATACCCGTTAGAAGGTTTGGCAAGAGAAAGGCTGTTAAACAATATACGATGTTGGATAGATAGAGTCATCCCGGATAATCACACCAAATACTTGTTAGAGAGTTTTCAAAAGAAGGATGTTCAGTAGTATATGGCGCCAGATAGTGAAATTTGCTTCAAATGCCGCCCCAGATATTTGAGCGAAATAATTTTGTGAGTTGTATAACTTGCGCAACTTTCAGTCAACTTTTCAACTCTCTCTCCTATGACAGCTATGACGATTTGGCAGCAGCTTTTTGGACTTAAGACATTAACTTTTGCCACTTTTTGTCAACTTTATGTCATTCACTTTAACCTTTTTGACTCTTCAAGACAAAAGAGTCTTCTTGTGGGGGATTGAAGAGTTTTGAAGATTATAAATAGAGGGGCTTAATTTTAGTCTTAGAAAAACTTTTGGTTGTAGTTAGTTTTAGAGAGGAAAGAAGTTTTGGAGCAAATAAGAAAGGCAAAAGATGTTGTGTCTTACCCTTTGAGGCAAGACATAAGCTCTCAGCAAATGTAGCTCTTTTCACCTTTTCATGTTTCAGTGTTGGATTGTGTAGGATAATTTAGTTGTTGTCCATCCATTTTGTGTTGGCTTAACAAGGAGGCCGATGGAGATGAACATGGAGGGACTCGAGATACTCTAGTGACAAGAATTTTTCTTCTCTCAATCTTTGTATCTTTGTATTGGATTCTAAATTTTGTTAATGCAAGTTTGGATATTATGTTATTGATGTAGTTAATGCAAGAGAAACCTTTTCTCTTGACTCTTCATCTAATAATTGAAGAATGGCCGTGGCATTTACTTCAACTATTTTGCGTGGGATTTCTTCAATAGAGATAAACTAAACTTTTCGTTCTAGTTAAGGAACAATTGAGGATTTAATTTAGCTAAAATTGTGAGATCGAATTGACTATATTTATTTCTTTAATTTACTGATATTCGTATGTTCCCTGATTTAATTTCTTATGGTTATTATGTTATTTGAATATCCAGGGCCCAGTGTTTAAATTAATCTAATAACCTAAATCCAATTAGTGCAGTTAAATCTGTAATTGTTTAATTACTTTAAAATAGTGGTAACTGGCATGATTGACTTTCTGTCAGGGGGGTATACGGGCTAATTAAAATAACT